TTTCTGTGAGTTTGAGGCCAACCTGGACTACAGAGTGAGTGCCAGGAAGGCTCCTAAGCAATACAGAGAAACCCTGTCTCGAAAAACAAAACAAGAAACAAAAACAAAATAAATTAGCTATTTAATTCCTTGAATCTTCTCCAGTGCCTAAGATGGAGGTCTATGGTCCTTGAAATCTGAATTTACACTGATAATTTAACATGAAAATTTCCAATAACCCAATAAGATCATTTAGTGCTGTCCCACTTTTGTACAAGAGAAAAGTGGGAGACAGAAAGATTAAGACCATTGAGCTGTGGTCATGCAGTTAGCAAATCTGGCACAAGTAATACTCCATCCAACGCTTTAGTGACCTTGCTTAGCATTGTCTGTACTCAAATTTCTAGCCATTTATTTATTTAGATTTATTTTATTTGTCATTATAAGTGTGCGTGGGTATGTAAGTGTTCTCTGAGGCCAGAAGAGGGCTTCGGATCTCCTGGAGCCAGAGTTACAGACTGCTGTAAGCCACCCTAAGTGAGTGCTGGGGTATGAGTTCAGGATCCTTTGCAACAGCAGCAAGCACTACCCATCACCAGCTATCTTATCAATGCCAAAGTTCTCATCTTTTAAATGAGGCATTATGGGCACCAGCTCATGGTGGGCTCATGGTGACAAGAGTCTATGACGGTGACAAGCTCATCACCTGTCAGAAGCCAGCCTTGACGACCCCCCATGCCTAGCTAGCCGCCAGCTAGTCTAGCATCCCACCCCTCAGGTTCCGGGACCTGGCCTGAGAAACAACTAACACCTATTCCTTCCACCACTTCCTTAGTTAGTTCTTGAGATAAACACAGGAGATTCCAGATACCTGCCTGAGAGCAATTAACATTCATTCCTCCCCCACCTCCTTTTTCTCTGCTTCCCCCTTTTTCTTTAAAAAGCCCCTTGGTTTCAATAAAGTTAGACCTTGACAAGTCAAAAATCGCTTGGTCTCGCTCTTCTTTTCCGCCCATTATTTTCAGGCTTGATCCACCTCAGACCCATGAATTACTGGAGCCCCTCGGGCCGGGGCAATCACCAATACCTGGCCTACTGTCAAGAGGCCTAGGGTGTAGCTGGGAGGTATAGCAAATGCTTAGCTCATGGGTCCCCAACACTAGCAAGCAAAGGGGCAGGGAGTTATTAGAGATAGGAACGATTGTCCCTGGTCATGAAAGGTTGTTTGGTTTGGTTTGGTTTTTTGAGACAGGGTTTCTCTGTGTAGCTTTCAAGCCTGTCCTGGCATTCACTCTGTAGATCACAGTGGCCTCTAACTCACAGAGATCCCCCTGCCTCTTCCACCTGAATGCTGGAACTAAAGGCATGTGCCACCATTGCCCGGTTGCTATGATTGTTGATACTGCTGTCATTCCCCTTTAATTCTGTGTCAGCATCTTTTAGCAACATCCACGTGTTCCCAGGGTGAGTGACTAACCTCACATACAGTTGTAATCCCTGCACTTGGGAGGCAGAGGCATAATGATCAAGAGTTCAAGGTCATTCTTGGCTATATTATATCAAGTTTGAGGCCAGTGTGGATTACATCAGACTCTCTTGGCAAACACATAGATAAAAAATGAAAATAAAAATCAATATTTATAAAGAGTCCTGAGAAGATAAATTCAGAGAGATGTGATTGATTGATAGGTGGGGGGGGCTCTTTCAGGTGGTTATGGAAGGGTAGTCTGAGGAGGCAAAATGTGAGCCATGACCTAATGCCCTAACAAAGTCAGTCACAGACAGACAGCTACGGGCAGCACTATGGATAGGAGTGCAAAGGACCTGGGGCTGGAACCCTGGGTTAGGAATTGAAGACGCTCCTGGTCCCATGTGCCATCCCTTCCCACTGAAAGATTTTAGTTTGCTGAGAGAAAAAGTTTTGAAAGATTTTAGTTCACAGAGAGAAAGTTGCCCACAGGCCTCGGCCCATTACCAGGAAGCTGGCCCCAACCCCGGCGCATCCTATGGTTGAGACGGGGGCGATCGCCAAGACAACCCTCTTTGGGTCACACCTGGCTGGTCAATAGACAATCAAGGACTTTTCAGGGTACGTTCTATGGTTTTTCCTTTGTAGAAAAGCAGGTCACACCTGGGTGACCACTCTAACATGAGATCATACTTTGTAATCAATCACTTTGTGCCCCTTGCCTGTATGCTGATCTGTGGTTTTTTCCTATATAAGGAGCCTATAACCCTTGCTGGGGTGTGCAGCTTCCCCTATTTGCTGACACCCAAATGTGCATTCGTTCAATAAACTCTCTTGCTTTTGCAACTCTTGGTCTGGTTTCTGAGTCTGGGGGCTCCTTGGGATCCTGAGGCCCTTAGGGGTCTGGGGGTCTTTCACCACTAATCTAGGCCCTCAGACTGGTTCCTTTGGTCTCCTGAGA